AAGCACATTTCTAGTTATGCAGCATAATTATAGTAATTGTATTAGGGTCCTAAAATTGCTGACTGTGGCCACATGTATGAGCATTTTGGTTTTACTCTCTTCCAACACTTAAGGTTGTACCTTCTCCACACAGATGTATCATTGGTTGTGTAGAATGCCGGGAAAGTGAATTTACATGGAGAAACCATTTGCAGTTATTGGAAACTCCTCAAAACTAATTAGGGCCTGGTTTTCTTTTTTAAGGAGATTACAGGTGAGGAAAGGAAGATAATATTAATCCTCTTATGGAATTAAATTCAGTAAACAAAAAAGTTGCCAAATATTTTATTTTTGACAAAACATTTAAAATGCCTTCTTAAATATGTAAATTCTACAGCTATCACTTACCGTAGTAAATACACTCTTTGCTGCGACGTCGCTAAGGCGCATGTGCATTTTCATGCTAAATGTCTCCTGCAGCTCTTTGACATTGATGCTGTTGGTATTTTTTTAGATAAGGAATTTGAAGTTTTGGGATGTTGGAGGAGGTTTTCCAGAAAGTGTAAAAATCAAGCAGAAGAACCTTAGACCCTTGTGATCTATGGCCCAGAAGCACTGGCATCACCTGGGAACTTGAAAGAACCTCAGCCCCACTTAGACCCAGGAATCAGAGCCTGCATTTTAAAAAGATCCCACGTAACTCATGTGCATATTGAAGTTTGAGAAATAACCCTTTAGTTTACAGGTTCCATGTTCATTATCCTACACAGTCCTTCAAAGGGATGTGTAAGATAAAAACTTGATTAAGAATATTAGCTGAATCTGATGTGAATATGGAGAGATTCAGAATAATCCTTTTTTCTTCTGGTTATATGCCCTAATTTTGTAGATTTCACATTTTTTTCTTCCAGTTTTACTGAGATATAATTGACATAGCACTGTATAAATTTAAGGTGTACCTCATAATCATTTGATTCACATACATCAAAAAATGTTACCACAGTAAGTTTAGTGAACACCTATCATCTCATATAGGTCACATTTAAAGAAAAAAAAATCGACTTTGGTTGACTGAGATGATGTAGTAGCAAGACCCCGACCTCCGCTCCTGCCCTGGGCACACCAAAACTGCATCTGTTTACAGACGAGCTGTCCGTGAGAACAACCTGAAGACTAGCAGAAAAGGTCTTCTGCAACTAGAGATACAAGGAAGGAACCACAGAAGAAGGGTGGGGGGCAGATACGAGGCTTAGTCAAGACCCATCCCCATGGGCAGGTGAACCACAAACAGAAAGATAATCACGGCTGTGGAGATCCTCCCCAAGGAGCAAGGGGTCTGAGCCCCACATCAGGCTCCCCAGCCTGCCCTGGGAAGATGAGCCCCCAGCATGTCTGGCTTTGAAGGCCGGCGGGGCTTGCCTTTGGGAGGGCCCAAGGGCTGCGCTAAATAGAGATTCTGCTCTTACAGGGCAGAATCAGTCATTTGAAAGGAGCCTGGGACAGACCTACTTACTGTTCTTGGAAAGTCACCCAGAGAGGCAGGAGCAACTGGGACTCACTCTGGGGACAAGGACAATGGTTGCAGCCATTTTGGGGAACCGTTTTGGCAAGCTCATGCTCCACGTGGACACTGGTGCTGGCAGGCGCCATTTTGGAATCCTCTCTCTAGCTTATTAGTGCCAGGACCTGGTCCCCACAACCAGCAGTCAGCATCAGTCCTGGGATGCCCCCAGCAGAGCAGCTAACCGGGCAGAGACACAGACCCACCTACCAGCAGGCCAGCTGCCCTAGTCCCCTCTAGCCCCCTAGTTGCCCAGGACCTGGCCCTGCCCAGCAGAGGGGCATGACTCAGCCCTGCTCACCAATGGGCCACTACTGTCACTCTACTAGGACACCCAGGGCCCTGCAGCCAGCTCAGAACCCAGACCTGCCCATCAGTGTGTCGACACCAGATATGGGGTGCCTGGGTGTGGAAGTTAGAGAACCCAGGACGTGGCTTCACCCACCTACAGACTGACACTAGCCCCAGTGAGCCTAGCCCAGCCATCACCCCGGTAACCTCGCCTGCCCACCACGGCAGCACCAGGACCAGTCCTCCCTGGGCCGTGCAGCCGGCCGTGCCAGAGCCCAGCCCTGCCTAGCAGCGGGCACAGCCTCCGCACATCCCTGAGAGCGAACCAAGGATGCTGTGAGTCCTGTTAAGAATGTTGTTTTACTCTGTGACTTCGTGTGACATCAGAGCATGATTATTTTATTAGTTTCCTAATTGACTCAACTTAGAGTGGCTATCACTTCTGGAATTTGACAATAAGCTTTCTTCTTTTCTTCTAGAGTTTGTCTAAGCAAATTTATAACAAAATACTCAGAATAAGTAGAACTTGCTTCCCTGCACAAGATCAGTATCTCGGGTAATAGATTCATAAGCAGGACTTATCAGTGGTGTGTTATTGTCTGGGAAACACAGTTTAAACATGCCCACGTCTGTGTTAGGGAGCTTCTCGTGGATTTATGTGGCCTGACGCCTCTGGACTCTCTGGAAAGCCAGATTTGAGAGTGAGCTAACACAGCCCTTTGGATTTGATGATCGTATCACCATTAATTAGTTGGAAAGTTCCTCATGAAATGTGGGCCAAGTGCAAAATGAGAGCAACTGCCAGTGAAATAGCTTTCTCAAACACCCGAATAAAAGCACGTTTTCTATTTTGTGCTCAAACTAACCTGATCTAACAGATTCTCTGTGTGTGTGCTGTTTAATTTTTCCCTTTACTTGTTGACCAGTGTTTCAAGGTTCTGCATTAGAAAAAAGGAACACTTTTTAAATCTCAGGCTGCAAAGGCCAGATGTGTAGTTGTTATTTTACAGAGACCAAACTAATTTCCTAAATGATTACAAATTTTAATGTTGGCCAATCAGGCTATTAAAAGGCTGGTAAAGAGCCCGACACTGAGGCCCATGGTGAAAACCAGGGCAGAGACCGTGGATTTTTAAGATGTGAAATATAAAACCCCAAATTTCTTTCACATCAGTTTTGATACGTTAATGGTTTTAATTTATTTGTGCATCTTTTAGGATAAAGCATAACATGATGTTAAGCATATCACTGAGTTCAGATAACATCTCTCCCTTTTCCTTTCTTTCTTGAGCAGGTTGTCAAGTTACTAAGCAACAAGAGATCACAAGCAGTCGGAATCCTGATGTCTAGCCTTCACTTAGATATGAAAGATATCCAACACGGTGAGTAAAACTGAAAATTCAGCTTTGGAATACTGAAATTTGGGCTGAAGGATATGGTGCTTAGTGGTAAAATTATTTCAAACTTAGACTTTCTGGTCATATTCAAATTAGTGTGTTCCCTATAAGTGCTAGCAAACTTTCTGCCATGCTTGTTTCTGGAAGGGTTTGGAGTAATTTGGCTTTTATGTCATTTCTATATCTTGCTAAGAGCCTAATTCTCATATGACATGTTTAGCCTGCATTAGTAAGTGTTTAATTTTTACTTCATAAGAATTGCTAGTCCCGCTGTGCTCTGTGCAGGTTAGACTTCTCCATGTCACGTTCCAAGAGTGGCTGACGAACACTGGTGAGAGCCTGACGTGGGGCACATCTCAGCCACTGACAGTGCCTGGAGAGGAGGGGCCGCGGGGGCGGGAAGTATGCTGAGGCTTGAGTCTCAGTGTTGGATGAGCTAACGTAAAGGAGAGGAAGTAAACCTAAAATTTCCTAATAGATCAGCTAAAACCAATGTAGGAGTTACAGGAAAGCTTGTTTCAGCTGTTGCTTAACAATGTTCTGATGATAGAGATGTTGAGGAGTAGACTGGATTGCCATGTATGGTGATTAAATGCAAACTCAAAACCGTTCAAGAGGCTGAATGACCGTGTGTCTCAGATGTCTCTGAAGCGCCGAGTGAGTGATGGGGCATATTCTCCTGGTCCTCCTGTCTGAGCTACTGTGAGATGCTGAGTCACTAAGTAGTCGTGTTATGTATAACTTTATGGTGGACAACTGGTCCCTCTTCTTTGAATTCTTTGGGATAGCTCTGTGTAACCCTCCTGGCTTTTCTGCCTACGTGGGGCCTGAATCATTTTTTTAGTAACTGTCAAAGATAGTTTCAGATTATTCCTGCCCACTCATATTATTGTTGGTGACCCAGACCCATGGAAGCAGAGCTATCATGACCTTCTGTTATTTTTTATGGTGGTGTTTTAATTTATATCTTTAAGCAGATTTATAAAATACTTTCTGTATTTGGAATTAGGGTGATTTTTAACATTTTTAAAATGGCTCTCAGCTCATGCCAGCACTTAAATGCTTGGACTCTGTTATTTACAGGCATCCCTGTGCCACATTGGCCTGTCACATGTGTGCTGAAAGATTTTGCCTGAAGGTGAACAGAGGGAGTAAATTTATATTCAAAATGTCCTGTAAGCTATTCAGAGCCTTAGAACAGATTTAAAGCAGATTAAATTATCCAGTAGAATGTACTTATTAATGACATGTGGTTTATAAATCATGAAAAGATTTAACTGACTTCCTAGCTTACCTGTTTATGAGTGTGGATTCTATTTGGTAGGCTTAAAATAATGGGTAGAAAAATTCGTAAGTAGCGCACGCTTGGTACGCCCTGTCGATTGGTGAGTAACTCAGTCACAGTTTAACTTTTTATTAAACTGCTGCGATGATGGGACTTTCTCACTGAAGCATCGGCGGTGGTAGTCACGGAACAGGTCGCCGAGGCTGCCGCCACGGAGTGCTCGGCATTTCTGAAGCCGGCAGATGTGGCCCAGTTAAGTCATGGAATGAAATCTGAAAATAATAATATGGTCCTTTGCTTCAGTCAGATACTGCCTGGGCTGAGTTAGTACTGAGTGTCTTATGAGCAAAGGAGCTCACTTCACATCCGTGTGTGGTGAGGCCAGTGTGAGTTCATTGAAAATCTGCTGGCTGAGCGTGCGGCGCTCACGGGACCACAGCGTGGACGGCAGAATTATACATAAACTTCATCCTATTCGGATGTGAGGTGATTGCTTGAGTCACTGTGAGTCCCTGCACAAGGTTTTCTAAAACACAGCCACCTTAGAAATCTGAAGAAG